AAAAATTTTTCTTGGAAATTTTATTCTCATATTTCCTGATTTCATATGTTTAGGTTGGTAACACTACATGCCAAATATAGGAATCTTCTATTATTCATTGATTATAAAATCGCGAATGACAGTTCGATGGCCATCCGTCAGCTAGTGTTACCAACCTCCGATAAGTAAAAAAGGAGTGTCACAAAGAGCTTCTTTTCGAAACTACTTTCAGTGTCGAAAAGACTTCGATATGACACCAAAATAGAAAAAACTTTTTACAAGTCAGTAGAATTATTTATTTTTGAAAAATCGGTTTTATCACAAGAATAATTGCTTGTAGGTACCTTCTGGGAGACTTTTCTGGTGATAAACTGTTGGCTACGACTGCAGCTTCATTAATAATATCTTGTAATAAATTCATTTCTGGAAAAAAATTGCAAAATGGAAATCTGTCAAAAAACCTATTTATAACTAGAAACAACGTCTTAACAACGTATCATTCTCATAGTTATACCAACTACCGAAACTTCTGTGAGAAAAAATCAAGGAAAAACATATAAATTTCAAATTTTTGTTATGTATTGATTTTTTATTTGTCCCTATATCTTTTACAAATGAGTAACAAATAAATTATTGTACATTATACGCCAGGTAGCAGTTTTTACTGGCTCTTGAAGGTGACAAGCTCGCCTGGCGGCTCGCTAGTCATTTCCTTCAATCGCCAGTAAAAACTGTTTTACCTGGCTAATAATGTAAAATACTATTAAAGCTTTGTACAGCAAATTTTTATTAGGCCACCTTAAAATTGAAGCTTTACATATCGAGGTATATAATAATGATATTTGTATTTTGTAAAGACTGAATTTATTAATTGCTTTTTTCATCATCACTGCCTCACTTTTAACAATAATATTGATTGCTTCAAAAATACTATATTTTTGTGATATATTATTATCTACATATTTCTTGATTTGTAATTTTTTTTTATATTATATTCTTTAGGCTTTTAATTTCTGTGATATTTTTATAACCAGTTTTTTTATTTGTATAATAATTTTAGTTTATATTTATAATTAGTCAAAAAATACAATAAGTGTACCAAAAAAAAAAAATGTTTAGGTCAAAACCTTACATTCCAAAATTTTCTGAGGAGCAGCTTACACCAATAATAATACTCCGTTCCTTATTTGTAAGGAGTCAAAATTTCATTTTAATCGGGACACACCTGTATATCAATATTCAATATTTTAAATAATATACTTTTAGCTAATTTGAAAAACACCATTTCATCTTCGAATAAAAAGAACGTTTTAGTTCTTTAATTTAAGCTTATTGGTTTGGCTTAACAGCCAATTATTAAGCATTGTGAAGACCTATTGGGTTTATTTACTGCTAATTTAAAAAAATAATTATTGTAAATATACTGAAAATTGCCTATTTTAAACAGGAAATAAATCTTTTTTTTTTTTTTTAATTTCAGACTTTGTTTTATTACTAGTTTTCGAGAATTTTGTAGAGTCCTTTACTCTTCTGGAAATCCCGGTAGTACTTGTAATGACTCACAAAAAGACGAGCTCGGTTACTTAGAAAATTATTTTATTAATTAAATATGAATGAATATGCATCACACATTTGAATGCCATTGGAAGCCACGCATATTGATGAAATTGAAAAAGTGCAGAAGAGATTTTTGCGGTATCTCTATGTGGTTAAAAATAATATTTACCCATATATGGTTCCTTACAGGGATATGCTTGTTAGTTAGTAGTGAGATAAAGTCATTAGTGGAAAGAAGGAATAATCAGGCTGTGATATTTTTGTTTTATATTTTAAACAACCTAAAGTATAAGGATTGTAATTTAATTAACTATGTCTCCTTAATTGTACCAAAGATTAACTTAAGAATTATGAAAAACAAGAAATACTTTGGTACTGATCCTAGTAATAATATGTCACCATTTAATCGCATGATGACAGTTGCGAACCAAGCACTTAATGAGGTCTAGTTAGATCTTTTTAATGTAACTTTAAATCAATTGAAGGCCCTTTTAAATTAGTCATATATGTTTATATTGTGTACTCTATCTTTATTTTTGTGTTTTACACTTCGCTGTTTTAACTTTACATTTTTGGTGTTTGTTAAGTAATGAAATAAATAAATAAATCTCTTCAACGTTTCACCTTAAGACAAATTTATAATTTTAATTTATTGTGGGCGGCATCCTTTGAGACAAAGTAACATGTACAATGTCAAGCTCCTTAAGCAGGTACTCTCCTCTTTTTTTTCTTAGAAGTTTCAACATTTTCTCATCAACAAAATTTAGTCTCTACTAATTTTTGGAAAAAAAATGCATTTTAAAAGTGATAAAAACTTTATTCATTTTTCTTGAAAACAAAATTTATATAAAAAACTATAACACATTTTTATACACAAATATACAAAGAATTAAATTTAAAAATATAAATCCAAAAACAAAAAAATTATAAAAAATTACATAATTGTATATAATCAGTCAATTATTATTTTGAAAAAAATTATGTGTGCATCAATTTTCATTAAAAAAGTTTTGAAACAAAATTAAATGGACCATGCACGGATCTTATGAGAAAAAAGGCCCAAAAAGATCGTATGATTAGTTTCGGAGATAGTTGTATAGTTGTATATATTTCAGACTTATATTTCAGACTTAAAACAGAGTTTCATAGCGTTATCAAAATCTTAAAACTAGGTTACAATCAATTACAATTACAATTAATAAAATACTATATCACTTAATGGGTATATCACATCTGTATAAAAAATTTTAAACATTATAAAAGGACAGTACTAAGTAACTATGAACGGTTAAGACTATTCAAAACAAGTTAAAAATCCAAATCTGTGACCTGATATTGCAAAAATTCTTCTATTGAATAAAAGCACTTACTTAACAAGAATTGCTTGATTTTATTTTTAAATGGCTTTATTGGAATGTTTCGTATCGTATGAGGCAGTTTGTTGAAAAATGCCGGTGCATAATATCGCGTTGCGCTCCAGGAGGTTTTTAAGCGTGAAAAGTCAATCTGCACGTTATAACGTTGGCGAGTGTTGTAATTATGGACCTCTTCGGCACGAGTGTAGTTTGAAGAGTTACTATGAAAATATAGTAGAGACTCTAGGATATATTGTGCTGGAAGAGTTAATATTTTTAGGTCCCTAAAGGATGGTTTGACATCATCTCGGTATTTGATGCCAGCTACAATTCTAACTGCTCTTCTCTGCAGGCCAAAGATGCGAGAGGTATGACATGAGTGTCCCCATGCTAGGAGTCCATAGACGCTCACTGAATGAAATAGACCATAATATGCCATTTTTGATGTTTCTTTATCTACAATTTTCGATATATTACGAAGAACATAGATTGCGGAGCAAAGTTTTTTTGAAATAATGTTGACATGCTGCTCGAAAGTCAGCTTCGCATCCAATGTAACTCCTAAAAATTTGATTTTTTCTGGGTTGTTTTGAATTGTAGTTTTCTTGAGAGAAAAGATTATGTTTTCTGTTTTACTTTGGTTGACATTCAGAAGATTGGAGTTGAACCAGTCAACAGCAGTTTCGACATGTCTCGTCATCTCCATTTTGGCAACATCCAGTGTTTTGGCTTTTATGGAGAGTCCATTATCGTCCGTGTAGATAACAACCTGGCATCCGGACAGGGCAGCTGCAAGGTCATTTATGTATATAAGGAACAACAGTGGGCCCAGTACCGATTCCTGAACCACACCGTGCCTCATGACTCTCTCCTCTGAGCGCCTACCCTCCAACTCCGTGATCTGCCTTCGTCCCGAGAGGTACCCAAATATCAAATTCACGCTGAATTCACAGAGCCTGTAGTATTTTAATTTTTCTATAAGGATATCATGTGATACACAGTCGAAGGCTTTGGAGAGGTCACAGAAGGTGGTGGACACAATCTGCCCCTCCTCAAAGCCCTCAACTATGAAATCACAGAGCTTTAGTATTGCCCAAGTGGTGGTTCTGCCCCTTCTAAACCCAAACTGCTCTTCTATGAATAAGTGGTTTCCCTCAAAGTACATGTAGAGTTGGTCCTTCAAGAGAACCTCAAGGATCTTGGAGAAGACGGGGATCAAAGAAATTGGTCTGTAATTTGATGGTGATGTTTTGTCTCCACTTTTGAAGATTGGCACAGTTTTACTAATTTTGAGCTCTTCAGGGTAAGCACCTTCTTGGATACATTTGTTGAAAATTTTTGCAAGCGGATAACAGAGAATCCCACCAAGTGCCTGTATTAGCACTACACTAAGGTCATAGAAGTCCTTGCTGTGCTTTTTTTTTAAATTATTAAGAGCTTGAAGAACTTCGAGTGGGACTACACTGTGGAAAGAAAAGTGCAGGTTTGGGTCTCCTAGGTTACTGCTCTGCATATACAGAACTGGCGATGTGTCGACTGCTGGTAGATTATGAATGAGGTTTTCAGCTATGTCAGCAAAATAATCATTACATTCATTTGGGTCTATATTTGCATTTGCTTTAGAAGTGCTGTTTGGCATATATTTTTTTATTAGATTCCATGATACTTTTGCAATGTTATCAGAATTACGGATATAATTTGAATTTGCTTGTTTTTTTGAGTTTTTCATTTCATTTCGGTACCTGTTCCTCAGTGTGTTTTGTGACGCAGCCCATTATATCAGACCTATATTATAATAATACTTATCTATTTACCTGACCAAAATGTAAACTTTGCTAAAATGGGATCTTTTTTCATATTTTGTAAGCTTCCCACAATAGAACATGAAGAAAAGGGTCAAGGCAGGTAGGTACCGGCCTCGACCCTCCAAAACTGTTATTGGGCTTGTAACATCATATTTTTGATTTGTAAGACATTCTAAAATAAACCATCAAAGTGAAAACGCAGCGTCTTTTATTTTGATTCGTTACAATTCAGAAGTGAGATAAAGAATTCCATATATTTATTTTTTTCTCTTACGTATTTATCCATTTTTCTCGATTATTCGCGATGAGAAGTGAGAGTGACAGTGATGATAACGAACTGGACCATAGGTCGTCGCGACGGAAACATAGACATTCAAAAAGCCACTTAGAACGGAATTTGGCTAGAGATCGCGAGCGGAGCCGATCTGAATCACCATCAAATGATGATGAAAACCGAGCTGGTCGCAGAAAAGAAGCAAAAAAGCGAAGAATTGAAGAGCTTATAGCAACAAAAGTGACTGAAATTCTGAGTCAAATTCAACCGACTATAAATGACCCCTCTTCGGCTAGCAGTACACAGCAATCAACCTCAAGGTCTTCAAGTGGTATAAATTTTGCAAAAAGTGAAATTGTTCCTATTTTCGACCCTGAAATTGGCGACGTCAACTCTCAAAATTGGCTGAACAAAATTGAGCAGCTTGGAATGATTCACCATTGGGACGACGCTACAAAATCGTATTTTATGCAATCAAAATTGTCCGGTATAGCCAAATTGTGGTACAATGGCCTTCGAGAATATAGCAAATCATGGGTAGATTGGAAAAATGCATTGTTAAAAGCGTTTCCGTCGCATGAGAATTTTGTGGACAATTTGAAATTGATGCTGGATAGAAAAAAACAACCTGATGAGACAATATTACACTATTATTATTCAAAATGCGTGTTAATTAGAAAGTGTGATATATCGGACGTTAATGCAACTTCCTGTATAATTGATGGACTTCCCCACGAGCATCAGGCAACTGCCAAATCTGCTTATATCAAAACCCCAGAAGAATTATTCCAGGGATTTTTGTGCAAACTAGCCAACACTCCTGTGCTACAAAAAAGTGAGAAAAACATGAAAACGGATTTAGCCAAATGTCATGTTTGTAAAAAAGGTGGACATTTAGCTCGTAACTGTTTTTTTAGAGATGCTAGTGCAGGACCATCTGGACAATCAAAATTTAGTGAATTCAAAAAACCGGGAGATTTCAAGTCAGGGGGCGCTAAAAGAATTAAAGAGTGTTCCCACTGCAACAGGAAGGGACATGTGAAAGAAGATTGTTGGCATTTGAACCCGGCTAAAGTACAACTATTACAAAGGCAAGTACCAAATAGTAGTTATATGATTGATGTTTCTATAAATAATAATACTTTCAAAGGGTATTTAGATACAGGGAGCCAAATTAATGTTGCAAATATTACCGTAATGGATAAACTCAACATTAAGTTGGAACCATCGAATATTGTAGTTAAAGGTTTTGGTAATAACATTATTTTTCCTAAAGGAATGAGCTCTGTAGATTTTAAATTTAAATATTTTTCCATAAAGTCTGATTTACATTTTGTAGTGGCCGATATGGGTGACATTGAAGTAATAATCGGCCAACCAATAATAAATAACGAAAATATTGTCACAATAAGCTAAACGTCCGCCAGGCTGTCAAGAATCTCTCGGTATTATCTCTTGAGTATACTAGAATCTAGTGAATTATTCTACTTAATTCGGGAAAATAATATTATCGTGTATTCTAGATTTTACAGGAATAGATTTAGGGATATATAAGAAGGCCGGCATTGGTTTGTAGTTTAGTTTAGTTTTCAGTTCGAGTGTGATACGATTTAAATAGTGATTGTAAAGAGTTGAATTGTTGAGTTTGTTAATAAAGTAATTAGTGTCAGAGTGTTTTGTTAAGTGGAATAAATTATTGCTGTGTTAATTGGACTTTGATTTTTGGAATAAACGAAACGAACAACGAACCCAAGAATTTTGTCAGCAGGCAACCCAAAGCCGCGACATTGGTGCCAAGAAGTGGGATATAAAGGACTGCAGAGTGAAATCCAATTGCGGAAGTGTGGGGACACTAGTGTAGTGTAAAAACTAAACACTAAGTGAACACTGGGACAGTTAGTGCAGTGCAAACAGTGACAATCACAAAAAGAGACTCAACCGATCGTGTGAATTACCCCGGAAGTGACTCTATCCCCGATTTAGACTGTGATAGTGAATCTTCGAGTGAGTTCTAAAAAATTCTATTTGGAAACTAAGGGAGATATCGAATTTGTGACTTCGCCGACGCATTCGGAACATCAATCGTCATTCAGAAGAAGTTTTTCGAGGAGTTTCGGGAAAATTCTAGAACATTCTATTTGGAAACCAAGGGAGATATCGAAATTGTGACTTCACCAACGTGTTTGCTGTATCAATCGACATCTAGAAAAGAAGTTTCAAGAAAATTCCAGAACATTCTATTCTAGAATAAGGCAAGTTATCCAATTTGTGACTTCACCGGCGTGTTTGGAACTTCGAGCAAAGACCAGAAAAGATATTTGAAGAAAGTTCGAGGGAAATTCTAGAACATTCTGTATATGCCTATCACAAGACAACAAGCCAAAATGGACGAACAAAAAGTTGAAGAACTCCTAGCTGCGCAAAATGTTGGAACTTCAAGAGACCAAACGACAACAAGAAAAACAAGACGAAGAAGCTAGAAGACAACAAGAAAAACAGGACGAAGAAGCTAGACGACTACAAGAAAAACAAGACGAAGAAGCTAGACGACAACAAGAAGAAGCTAGAAGACAACAAGAAAAACAAGACGAAGAAGCCAGACGACAACAAGAAAAACAAGACGAAGAAGCTAGACGACAACAAGAAGAGGCCAGACGACAAAAAGAAAAACAAGAAGAAGAAGCTAGGCGACAACAAGAACGGCAAGAAGACCTTGGAAAACTACAGAAGATATTCCAAACCATACAAGGAACTGTCGCTAACCTAGACCAGAAGATTGAAAAAGTTAAAGACGATGTGCAAGAAGTTAAACACGACGTTCAGGAAGTAAAAACTGAAGTCAAAATCGATGTTCAAGAAGTTAAAAACGACGTTCAGGGAGTTAAAGTTGAGGTCAAAGCCGATGTTCAGCAATTAAGACAAGAAGTTGAGGACCAAGTTCAAGCACTCGAAGATAAGATGCGTAGATTAGAAATACAGTCCATCAATCCAGCTAGTGTTGGAGCATTCTCCAGTATGAAGATAAAACCACCAACTTTCGACGGTTCTACGTCCTGGACCATGTATATTCGACAATTTGAAGCTGCTGCAAATACCAACGGATGGAACGACCAAGAAAAAGCTACAGCACTAATAGTGGCGCTACGAGGACCTGCCTTAGACCTTCTTCAGTCCATTCCTTCAGTCTACCAGCAGAATTACCAGCATCTTAGTCAAACTTTAGAACTGCGCTTCGGAGACCATTACAGACAAGAAGTATTCAGAACTCAAGTTAAATCAAGAGTTCAAAAACCCGGCGAGAGTCTACAAGAATTCGAATCGGAAGTTAAAAGGCTAGTGAGTTTGGCGTTTCCTGCAGCTGGGGAAGACATGCAGGAATGGATGGCAGTATCTGCGTTTATTGATGGTCTCAGAGATTCGAAGATCCAGGAAAACCTAAGAATGTCCAAGTTCAGACAAAGTAGCGAAGCCCTTGTCCGAGCATTAGAACTGGAAGCAATATTTGGTGCCTCACGACCCAGAATACGAGCAGTGTCCATTGAGGACCCAAAGGAAAAACAATCATCAAAAGAGGATGGCAGTTTCGAGAACCTTATGAGTAATTTCATGGAGGAAATAAAGAAAATATTACGAGAAGACAGAAAAACGGGAAACGACTCCAGACAAACACCAACACAAAGAAATCGATTAGAATGTTATCGCTGCCATAAGGTTGGACACATTCAACGAGATTGTAGAGTAAGAATGCCCTCTCCATCAAGGGATCGTTTCCAACGCTTTTCGAGATCAAGAGACGCCAGCCCTAATAACAGACAAGGAAACGAGAACTAACCAGTATGGAGGGGCGAATGCTGGTTAGTAATGACGAAGCCCCCAGGGTTGTTAACATAAAATCATTGGGCAGTCATTATAGAGGATTAACATTCGAAGGACAAATTAATGGAGAATTGAAAACTATCACTTTTGATACGGGTGCTGAAGTTTCCATAATTAAAAGAACATTAGTCAAGTCTCGAGCAATCCAACCGCTCACTAGAAACCTGTCACTACGAACAGTCACCGGCGAATCTGCACCAGTTCAAGGAGAAGCTATGGTTGAGCTCACTTTTGGATCTACCACCTTCAGGCACAAAACATTAGTCGCCGATATAGGAGATGATTTTATTTTGGGAATGGATTTGATCGGCCAACATGGGTTCTCTTTTGACCCTTCCATGAACATCCTTAAACTTGGTAATGAAGAAATTGTCCTAACAACACAAGAAGAATCCGATGACGTTAAGATCTTGGCCACAACCCCAGTGAGGATTCCTGGAAGTACTGAGAAGATCATTTGCGGAAGATTAGAAACAAACCCTGGGTGCTGCGTTGGGCTAACACGTAATTTCATTGGAGATAAACCAGAAAGGTTTCTTGTTGGAAAGACTCTAGTAAGAACAAATGGAGACATTATGATAAGAATTGCCAATGTTTCTTCCGAAACAGTACGAATAAAAGAAGGAGACATTATTGGAGCTCTCGAACCAGTGAAGCAAATATCGAACTGTGACCTACCAGATAAGCGACACTTTGTAAAATCCAAATTGGATACAGACACCTTGATGCAGACTTTGGCGAAATCATGGAAACATCTTGATCCAGATAGACTTCAAGAAGCCACAGACTTCATTTTGAAAGAAGCAGACGTATTTGTGATGGACAATCAAACCGGACGAACCAGTTTAATTCAACACAAAATTGATACTGGATTGGCACACCCAATTAGACAACCACCACGACGTATGCCAGTAGCTAAGCAACAGGAAGTGGAAAACCAAATTGATAAAATGCTTCAAGAGGGAGTCATTGAAGAGTCAAATAGTCCATGGTCCGCGCCAGTAGTACTGGTTACGAAGAAAGATGGGAGTCTTAGATTTTGTGTGGACTACCGAAAGCTCAATGACGTCACCAAGAAGGACAGCTTCCCTCTCCCAAGAATAGACGATACACTAACAACTTTATCGGGCTCCAAATGGTTTTCCACCTTGGATCTCAAAAGTGGATACTGGCAAGTGGCAATACATGACGATGACAAAGAGAAAACTGCCTTCAGTACCGGAAGCGGGCTATACCAGTTTAATGTAATGCCTTTCGGATTGTGTAATGCTCCAGCTACGTTTGAGCGACTGATGCATCTTGTTTTGCGAGGTCTTACATGGAGAACTTGCCTGGTATATTTGGATGATGTCATGATTATGGGAAATTCGTTCCAAGAACATCTCAATAACCTGAAAGAAGTTTTTGACCGCTTCCGGAATGCCAACTTGAAACTCAATCCAAATAAGTGTTTCCTATTTCAGAAGAAAGTGGAATTCTTAGGTCACGTGGTATCTGAAGAGGGCATACAAGTTATGGAAGGAAAAATAGATGCTGTCAGGGACTGGCCAAAACCACGCGACAAACATGAACTAAGGAGTTTTCTAGGATTATGTTCTTATTATCGAAGATTTGTGGAAGGATTCGCCAATATAGCTGCTCCACTTCATCGATTAACAGAAGAAAAATCAACATTCAATTGGACCCAAGAATGCGATTCCGCATTTAGAAGATTGAAAGGAGCATTATGTACGAGCCCAGTGTTGTCCTATCCTGATCACAAAGGCATGTTGATTTTGGACACAGATGCAAGTAACACCAGTGTTGGAGCTGTCCTTTCACAAATCCAAAATTCACAAGAACATGTCGTGGAGTACTACAGCAGAACATTATCAAAGCCAGAACGAAATTATTGTGTCACCAGAAGAGAGTTGCTTGCCATAGTAAAAGCAGTCGACCATTTTCATAAGTATCTCTACGGACGCAAGTTTCTAATTCGAACAGATCACGCAGCTCTAAAATGGCTTTTAGAAATGAAAACTCCTGAAGGACAGCTTGCTAGATGGATTGAGAAATTGCAGCAATACGATTTCCAAATTAAACATCGCCCTGGAAACCTGCATAAAAATGCTGACGCTCTGTCTAGACGGCCATGTAAAGAAGATTGCAAACATTGTCAAAGAATCGATATACATGAGAAAAACACTAGTCCAGCTGTAAGAAGAACGGGCCTGATCGTCGATGACAAATGGACTACCAAGCAAATGAGAGAAGATCAGGAGGCAGACCAGGACATCGGGCAAATTCTACATCTTAAAGAAAATGATGAATGTAGGCCAGAATGGGGGGAAGTGTCAAACAAAAGCTTGATTTACAAGGCGTTGTGGGCCCAGTGGAACTCTCTGGCCGTAGAAAATGGTTTGCTCAAAAGAGTTTGGGAAAGTGCCGATGGGAAATCCACTAAGAGCCAACTGGTAATCCCAAAAGACCGAGTGGAAGATGTATTGAAAGAAATACACGACGGAACCTCAGGGGCACATTTCGGAGTTAACAAGACTTTGGACAAAATTCGGGAACGTTTTTACTGGGTTCACTACCATGAAGACGTTAAAAGCTGGTGCCGAAAATGCGACATCTGTGCTACCAGTAAAGGCCCTAAACTAAGATCTCGAGGGCCCATGAAACAGTACAACGTTGGTCTTCCATTTGAGAGAATAGCGATAGATGTAGCAGGACCGTTCCCAGAGTCAGAGCGTGGTAACAAATACATCTTAGTTATCATGGATTACTTCAGTAAATGGCCAGAAGTTTTCGCTATTCCCAATCAAGAAGCCATCACTGTTGCCCAGGTGCTAGTGGACGAAGTTTTTAGTCGTCATGGTGTGCCACTAGAGTTACATTCAGACCAGGGACGAAACTTCGAATCTGCCATCTTTAAGAAAGTTTGTGAGATCATGGGCATTCGTAAGACAAGGACAACACCTTTACACCCTCAATCTGATGGCATGGTGGAACGATTCAATAAGACCATAGAGGAACACCTGACAAAAGTGGTCGCAAAGAACCAACGAGATTGGGACAAGCATTTGCCTCTATTTTTAATGGCTTACAGAGCGGCTGTTCACGATTCAACAGGTGAAAGTCCGGCTAGAATTGTTTTTGGAAGGGAACTCAGGTTACCTTGCGATCTGATGTTTGGAGTACCCGAAGAAGAACGAAGAGAAATCCGAGATTATGCCGACGAAGTAAGGGCACGACTTCTGGGTATCCATGATTTTGCTCGGGAGCATATTCAACTAGCCAGTGACCGAATGAAGACCAGATACGACTTGAAGGCCAATTCGGTCGGATTTCAAGAAGGTGATTTAGTGTGGTTATATAACCCAGTAAGGAAGAAAGGAGTATCACCGAAATTGTCTTCAGCATGGGAAGGACCCTATAGAGTAATCAAGAGGATCAATGATTTGGTTTATCGAGTCCAGCGCAACACCAGGAGTAAGATGAAAGTTGTACATCTGGACAGGTTGGCGAAATATCATGGGCGAGAAGTTGATCGGGACGATCAACCTTAAGAGGAGGGCAGTGTCACAATAAGCTAAACGTCCGCCAGGCTGTCAAGAATCTCTCGGTATTATCTCTTGAGTATACTAGAATCTAGTGAATTATTCTACTTAATTCGGGAAAATAATATTATCGTGTATTCTAGATTTTACAGGAATAGATTTAGGGATATATAAGAAGGCCGGCATTGGTTTGTAGTTTAGTTTAGTTTTCAGTTCGAGTGTGATACGATTTAAATAGTGATTGTAAAGAGTTGAATTGTTGAGTTTGTTAATAAAGTAATTAGTGTCAGAGTGTTTTGTTAAGTGGAATAAATTATTGCTGTGTTAATTGGACTTTGATTTTTGGAATAAACGAAACGAACAACGAACCCAAGAATTTTGTCAGCAGGCAACCCAAAGCCGCGACAATATGTTTATGCAAATCCAAGGCGGAACAGTTGCATTAAATTATTCAAAACATAAAAATACTATTCCAATATTGTTGAATAAAAACGTCACCATTAACCCGCATTGTACTTCTCTTGTGCCTTTCAGCAGTGCAATTAATCATGATGACTGTATGCTTATTTCTTCACAAACATACGATTTTCATGAACACTATTCAATTCCAACTTGTTTAATAAACCATTCTGACAAGGTAATCAGTGTCACCAATACAGGCCCCAGCAAAATTAACTGGAACAAAGGTAGAATTTTAGCCAGAGCTGTGCAAATAAATTTTTTGGAAATCGATAAAACTTTAACTACTGAAAATAAACAAACAAAGTGAATTTAGAAGCTTTGCAAGAATCACATTTGAAGCACTTCTATAATTTGTTAAATACATTTCAACACTGTTTTGCTAAAGATGTCACCGAATTAGGTGCTACTAATTTAATCGAGTTTGACATAGAGTTAGAGAAAAATGAACCAATTTTCTACCGACCCTACAGATATTCCGAAAATGAGAAAACTATCATTAGAAATAAAATTAAGGAAATGTTAGAAAACGGAATTATAAGAAAATCTCGATCAAATTTTTCGAGTCCAGCTATTTTAATTAAAAAGAAAAATGGTGATCACAGGTTATGTATCGATTATAGGAAATTAAATTCTATTACTATAAAAGATAGATATCCGCTCCCACATATCGAAGATCAAATCGGTCGTCTTGGAGGGCAAAAATATTTTTCTAGCTTAGATATGACTCAAGGATACTACCAAATACCCGTTTCCCCAAATTCAATACATAAAACAGCTTTTGTGACACAGGACGGACAATATGAATTTCTACGAATGCCTTATTCGGCGTATCAAATGCACCAGCAACCTTCCAAAGGTTATTAAATGACTTATTCTCCGAACTGTGTCATGAGAGAATTAGTGTATACTTGGACGATATTTTAATTTCCTCCAAAACGATCGAAGAAGGACTTGAAATACTGAAAATTGTCTTCAAATTATTTAAAAGTGCAAATCTAAAATTAAATATAGAAAAATGTTTCTTTTTTGAGACGACTATTGACTATCTTGGATACGAAATAGATGCAGATGGGATTCGTCCAGGAAAATTCAAAATAGCAGCTGTCTCAAGATTCCCAGTTCCCAAAAATCTACATGAAATAAGACAATTTTTAGGTTTAAGTTCTTATTTCAGAAAGTTCATTAAAAACCACGCAGTTATTGTAGCTCCATTGACAAATCTTTTAAAAAAATCGGTGTCATGGAAGTGGACTTCTGTGGCACAGCTTTCATTTAACACAATAAAAACAGAATTAACATCCAGGCCATTACTCAGCATTTACAATCCAAATCTTCCAACTGAGTTGCATACAGACGCCAGTAGCAAGGGCATAGCTAGTATTTTATTACAAAAACATGGGGACCACCTTAAACCAGTTATGTACTATAGCCGCATGACGAGTAAGGAGGAAAAATTGTATCATTCTTATGAATTAGAAACCCTTGCTATTGTAGAGTCAATTAAAAAATTCCGAGTTTATTTAACCGGCATCCATTTTTTAATTATAACAGATTGCGCGGCAGTACGTTCAACTTTTACAAAACGCGATCTAGTGCCACGCGTCGCGCGGTGGTGGATCGCAATACAAGATTATGATTTTGAAATTAAACACCGACCGGGCAAAAAAATGGAACATGTGGATGCACTCAGTCAGGAATATTCCAATTTCTGATGTGTCGACAATAATTGGATCGGATGACTGGTTTTTATGCATACAACTCCAAGATGACACTTTAAGAACAATTTGTAATAAACTTAGTCAGAACGACTGTGATAAACAATTGAAAAATACTTACCTCATTAGAAATAATAGACTTTACAGGAAAACCTCAGATAAAAATGAAAAATTAGTAATTCCTAAATCTGCTAGATTCAATATATTAAGAAAGTATCATGACGACATTGGCCACATTGGATATCGAAAATGTGAATCGCAAATTAAAAGTAAATTTTGGTTTAGTGGCATGACCCGATTTATTAAAAAATACGTTTATGCTTGCCTTGATTGTGCCTACAAACGGGAACAATATGGGAAAAAACCAGGTTTTTTACATCCTATTAGTAAGCCTACAGAACCTCTATATACTTGGCACATTGATCATTTAGGTCCATATGTCAAAAGTGTTGGTGGATTTTCTTATATCTTAATGGTAGTTGATTCATTCTCTAAATTCTTATTCGCACGACCAACAAAAACTACCAATTCTAAAGAGGCAATACACATTTTAAAAGATCTTTTTAGTATGTTTGCAGTACCAAAAAGAGTTGTATCTGATCGCGGTAAAGCATTCACTAGTAAAAATTTTAAAGAATTTTCATTAAAATATCAATTCAAACATATTTTGAATAGCGTTGCTTCACCAAGATCCAATGGTCAAGTCGAAAGATACAATTTGACATTAAAATCTGCGATTAACGCTAGTATAGATGAAGAAGATGAGTGGTATTCTGTGCTTCCGGATGCAGTATGGGGTATTAATAATACTATTAATGCAAGTACAGGATTCACCCCACAGAGACTCATGTTCGGTTTTGACCAAGCCAAACATAGAGACTTGGACACGAACAATAGCATTGTAATAAACACAGCACACGATCGCGAAAAAGCAAAAACAAATATGGACAAACAATTAAAAAAAATGAAAAGATTGTTCGATGCTAAAAGAAAAACAGCACAGCAGCATGCAGTTGGCGATTTGGTATTGTGGAGTGGAGCTGGAACTTCAAAAAAAGAAGTGAAAAGAAAAACTGGTATTAAATTTGGAGGTCCCTACAAAATTACAACAGCGAAGGAAAACGATCGCTATGAAATAACTTCATTAAAGGGGATGAAAGGCTACAAAAAATACACAACAACAGTACCAGTCGATCAATTGAGAATTTATACGGGAGGTGTAATTAATGAAAGTGAATCTGACAGTGAAGTCGACAGTACAGACGAACTGTTAGATTTACTAGAGAGTAAATAAAAATAAAAAAAAAATATAACATAAAATAGGTAGAGCTCTATCGAGCATAAAATAAAATAAAAAAAAGATAGTGAAGCCATGTGAGCATAAAATAATAATAAAAAAATAAAACAAAATAATGATGAAAAAAAAAAAATAAATAAAATAAAATATTTATAAAAAAAAAAAACCTAAAAACAAAAAAAAAATAATAAAAAAAAAAAAAAAAAACTTAATTATAAAAATCAACTATGTACTTGTGTTTTTTTGTTTCACAGATCATGGAGCCGAAAATCATCCGATAAGAAGACGAGGACGTCTAACTAACCAGGATGGCCGAGTGTGACGCAGCCCATTATATCAGACCTATATTATAATAATACTTATCTATTTACCTGACCAAAATGTAAACTTTGCTAAAATGGGATCTTTTTTCATATTTTGTAAGCTTCCCACAATAGAACATGAAGAAAAGGGTCAAGGCAGGTAGGTACCAGGCCTCGACCCTCCAAAACTGTTATTGGGCTTGTAACATCATATTTTTGATTTGTAAGACATTCTAAAATAAACCATCAAAGTGAAAACGCAGCGTCTTTTATTTTGATTCGTTACAGTTTCTCTCTGTCCGCAGCACAGGACAGTCAGTTTCTGAGCACATTTCATTTAATGTGTTTAGCTCATGTCGCAGCATCTGTAGTTCCTCTCCAAACCACTCAGCTCCGGGTTCCTGGGTGCTTTTCTTTGGTCTAGTCACTGGAAGTGCAATGTCTCGATATGATAGAAATCTCTGAAAAAATTTGGTGGTACTCATTTCAGCATTGTCAGTTTCCAAGAATGACCAGGTTTCATCCTTCAGCAAGTCGCACATCTTTGCAATTCCAGGACTGATAAAAAAAAGTAGTACAAGAAAATTCTCCAGAATCTGCTGGTATATTAATTTAATTTATAACCAAAAATGACATATTTTTGGCATTTTTTGACAAGTTTTTAACCTTTAAAGCTTCAGATGACATCACTTTGGCATTTTTCCACTTGTTTTTAACCTAAGATATGTCATTGCCTGACCTCAACATATTTTGAAATGTGCATTTTTTGTCAAAATTTTGTATGTTAACCCATCCCTGTATCTTCGAAACTAATCATATTGGGCCTACGAGAACTTACGTTCAGGAAGTCGAGATTAGTCGAGAAGCATAACATATTTCAATTTCATTGATTTTTTTCCCATAAGATCCATGCGGGGTCCTTCACCTTTTATAGTCATCAAATAATTATAATTAAAATTTCCTCAAGTAAATTTCAAATAAAGTAAAAGGAAACGCGACTTCATCAGACATCAATTTTATTGCAAAATATCGTACGTATCTCTGTATGTAATTTTAACAAAAAAACAATACACCAACTTTTACCTAAACTCGTAGATTTGTATTGAGTTTTCAGGCACATGTGTAAGAGTTAACGATCGAAACCTGTAAAAAAAAAATCATATTTATTAATTTAGACTTATTTTTCAAAAAAATCACTTACCATTCTGAACTTCTATGATAATAATAAACTTTAATAGTGGCTTGGGATTTCTGAAAACAAATATAATAAAATCCAGCAAATGAAGCGCCACTGATGTCCCTGATGGTGTGGTCCGGCACCAAAAAGTGTTCTTTCCATCTCATAAATACGAAATCCGTGTCCGCTAATTGGCTATAGTCAAAGTTGTCCGAATTGAAGTTTTTCGAGTATTGATCGAATTGATCAAATTTACTCTAAAATAAATAAACAATTAATTTAAAATTTAAAATAAGGCTTATTTATTATTACCCAATATTTCAAGTCTACTTCTTCGTCGGCGTCCCATTTTCTGGTTAAAAATGGATATTTTTGGCTTATAATTTCTCCGTCGAAAAACGTTGTCAGTTTGGGGTATTCTTCTGTCAAACCATTTATTTGAAGGTATCCACATAAATAAGAATTTTCTTCGTCGACATGCTAAAAAGTGTTTAAAAAAAATTCCCATGCGAATATTCGCGAACATTGAGAAATTTCCGAGAACATTCGCCGATAAAAAATGGAAACATTCTCCTGAATAAGAATATTCCCGGAAACTCTCAAAAGAATATTTCCGAGAATCTTCGAAAATATTTCCAAAAACTTTCCAGAAGAATTTTATAAAAATGCGAGATTATTGCGAATACAAGGTCTCAGTGACGTCATTTCACTTTATGTGGATGACGTAGCCCAGTCCATAGATAAGGGATACAAAACTCTCTCGAACCTATATTATAGATAGGCAACTCAATACAAACATTTTGTTCCTGATTACAGCGCCCTCTCGCGTGTGTAGTCAGCAACTTGAGAGCGCGGGAAGCGCTCCTTTTTAAATTTATTTATTTTTTTTCTTTAGGATCCGTTTATCATTTTTTATTGCCACTAGCACTGAACAATTTAATATGTTTCTAGTGGAAATAAAATTATGATAAACAGTCTCTTGATCACATACCGAAGAGTTACATACCAATTAATCCATGTATTAAATACAAAAATAACAATTTTGAATTACTTTATTAACTACAGTATAATATCAATCCAATCAATAATAGGTACCTACAATGAATTAGATTTTTTTTTTATTGTGAACGTTTTGCAGGCATAAAATGAACACCTAAAAAGAAAGAAAGTTACATTGGTGAAATTACAGCAGGTAAAATTCCGATTTCGGTATAATGTAGGGATTGAAACATACCTGTTCATCATTTTTTCGGAATTCGATGAATTTTTACTCTGTTCCCTCAGCTTTCACACATTGCCACACAACAAGATAAAACCATTTTGCTTTAAACGGAGAAAATTTTCAATCTCTGATTCAAATTATTGAATAAAAATGGAATATGTCAAAATATAATGAAAAAGTAAAAGTGAAGCGACGCTGCCACATGTCAAAAGCATGGGATATTTGTTTTGAAAAAGTAATGTAATTTCAAATCGTACTACTAGCAATTATATGTTAGCGAAGTACATGACTTTTTTTTCCTATTGTTGGAAGCTTTTTAAAACAAATAAAGAATAATCTGGACTTTTTATGTATAAATCTGACAACAGCATTGGACGACAGCGCCTCTGCCGTCTGTAGTCGCAAGCTTTTAGCGGAACAAATTGCACCATAAGAGTTGCACATGCATGGCCCAGTCCAACTGTCGTTATAGTCGGGGAGCTGGCGTCGAAAATATGCAAGAGTTTTCGCAAGGCTCATATTTTCAGAATGAGTAGCATTTTAGTACTACAAAGCTAGGCTACAGTCAGCAGTTCCAGTTCCGGGACACCTGGCGCTGAGATGCGCGCAAAGGTGTATTTTTAATCAACACCTCGCAACAGTTTTCGCAAAGCTGAAAATTTGCAAAGAGCATGCGAATATAATGTAGAACCATAATTTAACAGTCAGACAAAGAAATACGGGGACACGTAGAGTCAGCGCGACTTTGAAGTGGTCAAAAAAATGACGTCACCGAAAGTGTTTTCGCATGGCTGAAATTTGGCAAGGTAATAGTAAAAACAATTTATTTATTGAAAAAAACAGTCAGACACTTCTATGTCGGGACCCCCGCCAGTCAGCAGTCGATTAGAGTGATATAGGTGGTAGCGCGCGTCAATAGGCATATATCCATGTCGAATAATAATTTCACCAAAAGTGTTTTCGCATAGCTGAAATTTGGCAAGGTAATAGTAAAAACAATATATTTATTGAAAAAAAACAGTCAGACACTTCTATGTCGGGACCCCGCCAGTCAGCAGTCGATTAGAGTGATATGGGTGGTAGCGCGCGTCATTAGGCATATATCCATGTCGAATAATAATTTCACCAAAAGTGTTTTCGCATAGCTGAAATTTGGCAAGGTAATAGTAAAAACAATATATTTATTGAAAAAAACAGTCAGACACTTCTATGTCGGGACCCCGCCAGTCAGCAGTCGATTAGAGTGATATAGGTGGTAGCGCGCGTCAATAGGCATATATCCATGTCGAATAATAATTTCACCAAAAGTGTTTTCGCATAGCTGAAATTTGGCAAGGTAATAGTAAAAACAATATATTTATTGAAAAAAAACAGTCAGACACTTCTATGTCGGGACCCCGCCAGTCAGCAGTCGATTAGAGTGATATAGGTGGTAGCGCGCGTCATTAGGCATATATCCATGTCGAATAATAATTTCACCAAAAGTGTTTTCGCATAGCTGAAATTTGGCAAGGTAATAGTAAAAACAATATATTTATTGAAAAAAACAGTCAGACACTTCTATGTCGGGACCCCCGCCAGTCAGCAGTCGATTAGAGTGATATAGGTGGTAGCGCGCGTCAATAGGCATATATCCATGTCGAATAATAATTTCACCAAAAGTGTTTTCGCATAGCTGAAATTTGGCAAGGTAATAGTAAAAACAATATATTTATTGAAAAAAAACAGTCAGACACTTCTATGTCGGGACCCCGCCAGTCAGCAGTCGATTAGAGTGATATAGGTGGTAGCGCGCGTCATTAGGCATATATCCATGTCGAATAATAATTTCACCAAAAGTGTTTTCGCATAGCTGAAATTTGGCAAGGTAATAGTAAAAACAATATATTTATTGAAAAAAACAGTCAGACACTTCTATGTCGGGACTCCCTCAGTCAGCAGTCGATTAAAATAAATAGAATAGAATAGAATTTTACTCTATATATAATATCCATTTCGATGAATAATTTTATTTTTATAATTTAAATTATTTGGAATCGGAAACGGTAAAATAAAATTGTACATGCAGTTAAAAAGTTTGCGGTTAGAAAAAAGCCCGATTCGTATAAATATTACTTGACCATTTAATCAGCAGTACTGTGATAGTATACCTATAGTAAGTTTCATTAAATACTTATAATCGTCGCCGATTTTATAAAATACAAAAAAAAAAATTCTAATCACATCTGCCGCTTCCCTTCCCCTAATCTCGACCTAACAGTACCATAATGAAGTTTCCGAATTCGAATGCATATACGCCTTATTCAAGTATACGCGCTTACGCTTGCAACTTACAGGTTTACACTTACTCATTAAGAGAAAAAAAATGTATTTTACCGTTTCCGATTCCAAATAATTTAAATTATAGAAATAAAATTATTCATCGAAATGGATATATATAGAGTAAAATTCTATTGACGCGCGCTACCACCTATATCACTTTAATCGACTGCTGACTGAGGGAGTCCCAACATAGAAGTGTCTGACTGTTTTTTTCAATAAATATATTGTTTTTACTATTACCTTGCCAAATTTCAGCTATGCGAAAACACTTTTGGTGAAATTATTATTCGACATGGATATATGCCTATTGACGCGCGCTACCACCTATATCACTCTAATCGACTGCTGACTGGCGGGGTCCCGACATAGAAGTGTCTGACTGTTTTTTTCAATAAATAAATTGTTTTTACTATTACCTTGCCAAATTTCAGCCATGCGAAAACACTTTCGGTGACGTCATTTTTTTGACCACTTCAAAGTCGCGCTGACTCTACGTGTCCCCGTATTTCTTTGTCTGACTGTTAAATTATGGTTCTACATTATATTCGCATGCTCTTTGCAAATTTTCAGCTTTGCGAAAACTGTTGCGAGGTGTTGATTAAAAATACACCTTTGCGCGCATCTCAGCGCCAGGTGTCCCGGAACTGGAACTGCTGACTGTAGCCTAGCTTTGTAGCACTAAAATACTACTCATTCTGAAAATATGAGCCTTGCGAAAACTCTTGCATATTTTCGACGCCAGCTCCTGGACTATTACGGAAACGCTGATTCGATTTCCCCGATCACCAGCTGATGTACCTACAGTCTACAGTTTGTCTTTTTTAAAAATATTCTTCATTGAAGAAAGATAAAAAATAAAGAGCTGAGAGATTGGCGTAATCGGATCAGCTTTTCCTTTAAAGCCTTATTCAACCGTCCATAATAGTTATTTTCCTAACAAGTGCGCAAAGTGATACTTTCCCGCACGAAAAAGCAGTTAGACGAACGACGCGAAGCGGAGTTCGGATGAGCTTTGAGTGCGGGAAAGACACTTTGCGCAAGTGTTAGGAACAATACTTTTTCTACGAGTGTTCAAGATTTTCATTCAGAGGAGCTGTATACCTAATCTTTTTGAATATTTCCAGATGCTCAAAATTGGTTGTACTAACGAGGTTTATTTGAAATTTGAATAAGTCGTTTGGTTTGTTTTTTCTGCCAAATTTTTGTATGGAGGAGTATAATATATAATATATATAATATATAAGACGGTCGAAATTTGATCGTGGCGCCATCTAAGACAAGGATTCAACACTAAACAGCAATTTTTGCTGTATTAGTGATGCCATCATCTAGCCATACTGATGAGACCTGATATAGGTCGAAACGCGTCTATGGATGGAAAAGCAAAGAAAATTAATCCTAAATTTTCTAATCAGTATAATATATAATATATAATATATATATTATTTATTTATTTATTTATTTATTTATTTATTTATTTACGCATTCACATTTACAAGATTAAATACAAATATTTCTTAACCTAAAATTGCCTTCTTGCCAGAAGTCTTAAATCTATCTTTTGAAACAGTAAAGAAGTCAAGTTGATGGCAAAATTTATTTACATTTCTGCTAATACGGTTTACTGGATTATACATAAAATACAGAGTACGACTTGGTGGGACTTGTAATAGTGGAGCATTACGAGTTATGTAACCAGGAACATGAAATTTTATTACTGAAAGACATTCTGGACTACAAATATAATTATTGATAACATTAAATGCAAAACATACATCATAATACTCCCTTCTGTCCCTAAGAAAATTCAATTGCAAATACTTATATGTATCTTCCACTGATAAAAAAATACCCTTTCTACTCAGTTTGTAACGTACAAATTTAATAAACTTACGCTGAATGCTCTCAAGGCGATCTATGTATATATTAAAAAATG